GGGGGGGGTGGGGAAGAGAGAGAGGGAAAGAGAATCTTAAGCAGGTTCCATGCCCAGTGTGGAGCTTGATGTGGGGCTTGATCTGAGATCATAACCTCAGCCGAAATCAAGAGTCGGATGTTTGACTGAGACACCCAGGTGCCCCTAAAGATTTTATTTTTAAGTTATCTCTGCATCCAATGTGAAGCTCAAACTCACAACCCCAAGATCAAGAGTCACATGCTCTACTGACTGAGCCAGCCAGGCACCCCTGTATATCTTCTTTTATGAAGTATTGATTAACTCTTTTGCCCATTTTTATTGGGTTGCTTATCTTTGTTCTCAAGTTGCAGAAGTTCTTCTATCCTGGATATGAGATCTTTGTCAAATATATATATACACACAATATATATATGTATATATACACATTTGTTTATATATATATGCACACAATATATACATTCTCTCTCTCTCCATACGTGTATGTATATATACACACACATATATATAGTAAATGTTCTTTTCCTCAGTCTGTGACTTTTTTTAAAAATTGAGGTATAATTGACATACAAGATTATATTAGTTTCAGGTGTATGGCATAATGATTTGATATTTGTATATCCTGCAAAATGCTTACCACAATAAGTCTAGTTAACATCTATCACCACAGTTACAGGTTTTTTTTCTTGTTAAGATAACTTTTTTTTAAAGATTTTATTTATTCATTTGAGAGAGAAAAAACAGAGGGAGAGGGACAGACTCCCCGCTGAGTATGGAGCCTGACACGGGGCTCAATCCCAGGACCCAGAGATCATGACCCGAGCTGGTCAGACCCTTAACCAACTGGGCCACCTAGGGACCCCTTGTTAACAGAACTTTTAAGATTTACTCTCTTAGCAACTTTCAAACACGCTGTACAGTATTGTTGACTATGGTCACCATGCTGGAAAATATGGAACAATTCACGTATTTGTGTGTCATGTTGGTAAAGGGGCCATGCTAATCTTTTCCGTATTGTTCCATTTTAGTATATGTGCTGCTGAAGTGAGCAGCCCAGCTGATTTTAAAAATGCTGTCTTTTGATGAACAGACGGTTTTAATTTGGATGAAGTCCATTCCATCAAACTTTTATACTTAGTGTTTTCTCTGTCCTAAGAAATCTTTGTCAACTCCAAGGTCACAAAATAATTCTCATGGGTTTTCTTCTACAAGCTTTACAGTTTTAGCTTTAGTTTTTGTTTAGGTCTGTGATCCATCCTGTGTGGGTGTGTGTTGTCTATAATTTTAGATAAGGGTCAAGATTCCTTTTTTTCCCCATTGAAGATGCATTTCCTTTCTGCACTGAATTATTTTGTACATTAAAAAAATCACTACCTTGTGTAAACGTGTGTCTATTTCTGGCTTCTTTATTATTCTGTTTCATTGATCTATTTGTCTCTTCTTACACTAAAACCACATTGTCTTGATTACTGTAACTTTATAGTCCTTCAAGACAGTAAGTCTTGAAATCAGATAATGTAAGCCTATTTTGTCTAAGTGTGTACCTCTGCTCCCTTTTGGTTCCATTTGTACGGAATATCTTTTTCCATTCCTTCACTTTTAGCTTATGTGTATCCTTAAAGTAGAAGTGAGTCTCTGTTAAGCAGCATATACTTGGGTCGGTTTTTTTTTTTTTTTTTTTGGTCCATTTATTCAATGTCTTTTGATTGTTGAATTTAATCCATTTACATTTAAAGTACTTACTGACAGGTAAGGATTTGGGTCGGTTTTTTTTTTTTTTTTTTTTTGGTCCATTTATTCAATGTCTTTTGATTGTTGAATTTAATCCATTTACATTTAAAGTACTTACTGACAGGTAAGGATTTACTAATGTCATCTTATTAATTATTTTCTGGTTCTTTTGTAGTTCTTTTGTTCCTTTCTTCTCTTGCTGTCTTTCTTTGATGTTTTGGATGTTTTTCCATAGGGTTATGCTTTTTTTTTTTTAAATATTTTTAGGGACACCTGGGTGGCTCAGTCAGTTAAGCGTCTGCCTTTGGCTCAGGTCATGATCCCAGGGTCCTGGGATCAAGTCCTGCATCGGGCTCCTTGCTCGGCAAGAGCCTGCTTCTTCCTCTGCCTGCTCTGCCTGCCACTTTCCCTGCTTGTGGTCTCTCTCTCTGATAAATAAATTAATAAAAGCTTTTTTTAAAAAAAGATTTTTTAAAAGTAATCTCTATACCTGATGTGGGGCTCAAATTTACAACCCCGAGATTAAGAGTCCCACATTCTACCGACTGAGCCAGCCAAGTGCCCCTATAGTGGTATTCTTTGATTTCCTTTGTTTTCTTTTGTGTATTTACTGTAGGTTTGTGCCTTGTGGTTATCATGAGGCTTACATAAAACATCTTATAGTCTATTTTAAGTTGATAACTTCAATTGCATACACAACCTACCCTTTTCTCTTCACCACAGTTTTCTTTTTGATGTCATAATTTACATCTTTTTATATTGTGTATTCATTGACAAGTTATTGTAGCTATAGTGATTTTTTTAAAAAGATTTATCTATTTATTTTAGAAAGAGAGAGAGGACGTGCATGAGTGGGGAGAGGGGCAGAGGAAGAGAATCTTCAAGCAGACTCTGTGCTGAGCACAGAGCCCAAGGTGGGGCTTGATCTCACAACCCATGAGATCATGACCTAAGCCGAAACCAAGAGTCCGACACTCAACTGACTGAGCCACCCAGGTGCCCCACTATAGTGATTTTTAATACTTTTGTCCTTTAATCTTTGTACTAGAGTTAAATGATTAACACACCACCAGATTACAATATTAGAGTATTCTGAATTTGATTATATACTTACCTTTACCAGTGTGCTTTATATTTTCATATGTTTTCTGTTATTAATTAGCCTCTTTTCATTTCAGCTTGAAGAACTCCTTTTGGCATTTCTTGTAAGGCAGGTCTAGTGGTAAGAGAGATGAACTGTCAGCTTTTGTCTGGGAAAGTCTTTTTCTCCTCTTCATTTCTAAAGGACAGCTTTATTCTTGGTTGACTTTTTCTTTTGGCACTTTGAATATATCATCCCTTTGAACATATCATTTTCTCATGGCTTGTTCTGCTGAGAAATCTACTGATAGCCTTATGGGGTTTCCCTTGTATGTGAGAAAATTTTGCACTTATTGCTTTTAAAAGTCTTTATCTTTTTTTTTTAAGGTTTTATTTATTTGAGAGAGAGAGACAGAAATAGTGACAGAGAGCATGAGTGGGAAGGAGAGGGAGAAGAAGGCTCCCTGATGAGCAGAGAGCACAATATGGGGCTTGATCCCAGGACCCTGGGATCATGACCGGAGCCAAAGGCAGATGCAAACTGACTGAGCCACCCAGGTGCCCCTAAAAGTCTTTATCTTTGATTTTAGACAGTTTTACTATAATATGTCTTTGATAAGATTTCTTTGGATTGAATCTGGGGACTTATGAGTGTCATGAACTGGATGTCCAAATTTTTCCCATGTTTGTATATTCTCAGCTATTCTTTCTTCCTTTTTTTTTATTATTGAAGTATAGTTGGCATACAGTTTACATTAGTTTCAGGTATTCAGCTAATATTTCTTTAAATAAGCTTTCTGCCCCTTTCTCTCTCTGTCAGCCCTAAGGATTCTGAGGCTTTCTTGGAGCTTTTCTATATATACACCAGCTCCATACTTCTTGTTCCTTCTTGAGGGGATCCTTAAGATTGTATGTCTTCTCTCAGTCTTCCAAAGCCAGGCTGGATTCTGATAGCCAACCATTTGCTTCCCCTGAGGGCAATGCTGAACGCTCAAATTTGTGTTCTTTCTCAGCTCCATAGAATCAGCTGGCTTTCTATGCATACTCACTAACCATCTGCAAAGGTTCCTACTTGCCACCCTCAGGGGCCTACACAGGGAGCCAGCCATAGATAAGGGAGTATGTGGGTGATTAGCACAGAGTATTAGGGATGTCCATATGCCAGTTGGGAAATATGCAGGTGAGGCATCCTCAGTGGCTGGCTTCCTGATGGAGTCTGGTTAGAAGGACCCATGTTCCTTTGATACATTTTGAGCCCTATCTGCTATTCTCTTAGCCCCTCCCCACTCCTCAGTCATGAGGCTTACCTCAGTGTTCTGGAAGGTGTGACAAATGCACTTTAGTGACACCTGGGGCTGTGACTCTAATTGGCTACTCACATTAACCAGGTGGGTTTTCAGAAGACAGGAGCAGACAGAGGTAGGGAGGATCCCACCTAGTGTCTAGGGTCTTGGGTCAAGTGTCTTTTGCATGGTTCAGAAATAAGAACAGAGCTAAGAACTTCTGTAGTGGCCACTCCTCAGCCATATGACGTGGCCTTGAGTCCCTCAGGGGCAGAAGACAGGAGAGCACTTGAGCCCATTGTAGTCTGAGATGGGGGCCCCAGCTGGTCCTGGGAGCCTCATGGAGTTCCCCGGGCATTGTATAGATGGGTCAGCAATTCAACTCTTCTAATATTATCATTGGTAGCAATTTGGTGTATATAACTTTCTCCCCCTTTATATGCATTTACAATATATATGTATAATTATGTATCTTGATGGTTTTATTTAGATTAATGGGATCATAAAGATTTTTAACTTTTTCACTTATAAATATATCTTGGATACACTGCTTCATCAGTACCTATAGATCAAATTCATTATTTAAAAAAATTTTTTATTTTTAAATTTACTTAACAAGTTCTATGCCCAATATGGGGCCTGAACTCATGACCCTGAGATGAAAAGTCACATGCTCTACAGACAGAGCCAGCCAGGTGCACCTAAATTAATTATTTTTAAATAGTTATAATTTGTTAGTATTCTCTGAGTATTAATAGACTGTTAACCATTAAATCAATCCTCAATTTTACCAATTGGTGATATTATCAATGACTGGTTATCTTTCTACACCTTTACATCAATGGACCAGTATTTCTGGTGTCTTGCTTTTGTATTCAGGGCTTTGACCATTTCCAGCAGAAAAGAAGGACCACCACTTTTGTCTTTTCCTTGGAGGGAGCTCAACTATTGGGAACCATCCTTGTGCCTGAGTCATAACTGCCCTTATGACATCGTAGGTCTCCCTATCCACTCTATCTACCCATCCATGGCTAGAGGAACACAGACCTGAGGGGATTTGAACCATCTACACCCAATCCATGTGGGACCAATGGTGAGTAAGCAAGAGACACACAAACCAGGCTTTTTAGGGATGTCCCCACAGATATCTTAGGATGTGGGGATCCCCTGGCATATGAATACTCTGGGAAGCCCCAGAAGCTGGGGATCTGTGGGATACTGAACAGACAGGGAGGGAGGGCAACTTCACTCTTGTCTTTTCCCTAATTGCTGATTTCAGGAGGAGGAGCAGCCTGAACAAATTGAAGATGAACCTCAGCAGAAAGAGGAACCGACTTGGTTATCCCCAGAATTACTGACCTCAGAGAAGAAGGTGGAGGTAGGAGGAACCCTGACCTGGATGCCTCTGGTCCTTGTGGTTAGTGTTTTTTGCATGATCCAGAGCTAAGAACAGGAATAAACTCATTCTTGTTTGTTCTCTTTCCCCATTTTTTTTTTTTCAGGCTGAAGATGTAGATACAGTCAAGACAGATAAAGTGGATGGTGCTAATAATGGAGATAGACAAGTATGAGCCCCTCCCCAAGGCCACACAGGGCTGGGGCTGGGAATATAGGGGCTGTGTTTGTGGAACAGAATGGCCAACATATGGGAAGCTGGGCTTAATCAATAGTGTGGTGTGCATTTGAGCTTGTGCGTGCATGTTTGCTTGTTAATTAAGACTTAAAATGTGAAAGTCAAGAGAAATAAGGATGGGGAAGAGATAAGAGGCAGAACTTTATGGGGTGAGGGAAACTTAATACTATAACATGACAGAGGAAGAGAACAGGTTGTGGTTTGGAGCTGGAGTCAAGGATGGAAGGACAGGATTAGCAAGAGATGCTACTTCTCTAGCAAGGGGGTGGGGTCTGAAGGGAAGGATCATAGGTCCTGATCAGTTGGGCACATTCAGGTGGAATATGTAACTCTTTGACCCATAGATCTTGCCCTAGGCTGGCCAACTTGATCCATATAAAACTGGGTAGACAGGTCAGATGTACTACCATTTTATAGATGGGGACTTTGAGATTCAGAGGTCAACACGTGTCCATGCCCATTAACCAAAGAGTGGCAGAGACAGGACACCTACCTGGTCTTTTGGTTCCAGCCAGTGCCTGTCCAGGGCTCCTGAGCTCCAGAAGAAGGGCTGATTGTTGATAGGGAATCAGGGCTCCTTCCTGGCATGCCCCAAGACTCAAGCAGGTGGGGAACATTCTCTGAATGCCCCCTCTTTTTTCTTGCAAGATCCCAGGAAACCAAGATAAGCCCTCTACCAGTAATCCAGAAGTCATAAAGATCCAGGCCTGGTGGCGGGGCACCCTGGTGCGCCGGACACTGCTGCACGCAGTAATCAGAGCATTAGTCATTCAGCGCTGGTGGAAGAACATCCTGACAAAGCTGATGGAGAGGAGGCGGCGTGAAGCACTGGAGACCTTTACACAGAACGAGTGGGCGGCAGTCAAGCTGCAGTCCTGGGTCCGCATGTGGCGCATCCGTAGGCGCTATTGCCGTTTGCTCAATGCTGCCCGCATTATCCAGGCCTACTGGAGGTGCCACTCCTGCACTTCCCGGGGTTTCATCCAGGGCCAGTACAGAGTCACGGCCAACCAGCTGCATCTCGAGCTAGAGATCTTGCTGGGCTCAGGGCCTTGCATTGTGTCAGAGTGTATTCCCCTCCCAATAAAGCAGTGAAGTGGTCTTCCCCCAGCCTCTCTGTTTGACAAGTTCCAGGAGGTCAGGGCAAATGATGGCAGATATTGGCATCTCATATGCTAGCGCTGAGGAATGGGCAGGGGTTGTCTGAGGATTTTGGGAGGAATTCTGAGGCTTTGCCCAGACTGAGCAGAGACTGTGATTAATTTGCAAGTTCTGCCATAAGTTGAAAAGTTGGTGGAACAGATCTGCCATGTTGGCCAACTCAGGGAGCATCCTTCATGTAAATTGGTGCCCATCCCCAAGGTTGCATATAATGGAGTCCTGGAAGGTGGTGGTTAGTGATGGCAATGGCAGCACATTTGTCAGGAATTCACTCACCCAAGTCTAGTTGCTCAGGGCTTGTTCTCTTACCCCCATGATTGGAAGGAACACACCCACCCCAAGCTCTGTGATCCTGGCTCCCATCAGTTCATAAACTGGCCCCTATACACAGAGGGCAAGGAGAGATGGAAGAAGGAAGCAGGCCATTCCAGATTGGCAGGTGGCAGGCTTAATAAACAAGTGAACTTGCATATGAGGCTTGTCTTGGGTGGTTGCTAGGTGAGTAGGTCTCACCTGCCAAAATCTTTTTTTTTTAAGATTTATTCATTTATTTTAGAGAGAGAGTGTGGGGGAGGGGCAGAGGGAGAGAATCTTCAAGCAGACTCCCTGCTGAGCACAGAGCCCAACTTGGGGCTTGATCCCACAACCCATGATATCATGATCTGAGCTGAAACCAAGAGTCAGATGTTCAACAGATGGAGCCACCCAGGAGCCCACTGCCTGCCAGAATCTTGAAAATTTATATAGAGGCCTTAACAGGTTTCAGTCACATATACTGTCCAGATGTTCTCAAAACCACATTGCTCTCTCAAGGTTGTGTCCTTGAAAATGGCTCTCATTGTGGGATGGTGGGTGGCATGCACATTCCAAGGACAAGGGAGGAGGCGAGGAACCTTCAGTTGCCTGGGTCCAGCTTGCGGGTCAATGGGCAGTCATGTCCTCTCAATGGCCTCCTTCAACAGCTCCCTGCCCAACTGGTGACTGTATCCTCGTACATAGCCTCCATGTCAGAATCTGAGACCCAAACTGGACACTGTTAGAGTGTATAGCCCCAGTCTTCATTCCTACTTCAACCTCTGTCCTTCACCCTTCAGCCCCAAATGGAGGCTAGGATTCATTCCCCTTCAGATCTGGTGGGGTGCAGGAGGTTCCACAAGGGTGAAGATGGGAAAGAAGGCACTCCACTGCTAGCCAAAGCCTCTAGTGAGTGTCAGGTCACAGATCCAGAGCTGAGAAGGATAGGCCATGTCTCCCTCACCCTGACTCCAGGCCCAGTCTAAGCAGAGGCTGGTCCCGCTGGAGCTGGTGCTTCTGACAGTCACTTCCTAAAAAAAGTTGCCGCCTGGGGTGGAATTGGGGCCTAGTGGTGATAAAAAGCCCATTAAGAGATCAAGGTTAGGCTGTCCCTCTGCCCATCTGGGCACAGCTATCCTGTGGTTTCCCACAGACAGAGAGGGTCCTGGAGTCTTGGGTTATTCTCCATCAAGACTGCAAGCTCAGAAGCCCTATGTCTGGTTCTGCTCCATCTACTCTGCCCTGACAAACTAGTCCTTCAGCTCACAGAGGTTCTGAGATGTTGCTTGGAGGTCTCAGGTTCTAGCTCTCTGTCTTGCCCTGGAGCACGAGCTCTGCATTTCTTGCTCTGTTCCTCCATGTCTTACTCCTGTGTTTCACACAGGTCCTGGTCTCTCACTCTTTGAAGGATTTATGTCTCCTTTTTCCTTGCTTACCTTTCTCTTTTGTGTTCAGTGTCTTAGAGTAAAGAGCAAGGACTTTGGAGTCAAACTGGCCTAGGTCAGGTCTCTTGTTCCATCACTCACTGCTCTGTGGCTGAGGACATGTCATTTTACCTCTCTGAGCCCCAGTTTCCTCAGCTGTAAAGTGGGACTGATTATCATCTTTCAGTGCAGATGTCAAGTGTCATAAAAATTCAGCAACAGCAACAAAACAAGGAAAGGGGTCACACCCACCTTAAAAACTGGCAGCCAGGGAAAAACAGCAAATTTGGGGATGCAGTGGAGTGGCCCAGGAGAGCACAGCAAAGTATGCTCATCATTATTGGGGCGCTGCTGGTCCCAGGCCTCTCAGTGGTCAGAGATAGGGAATATATGTTTGTGCACACACACCGCACACATAGCTATCATCTGTATCATTTATCATCTATCTATATTGAAACGTATGAGTTCACATTGATATCTCTAATCCCAATCTAAAGTCAAAGAGTTCATTCTAGTTTTCTCCTTTCTATATTTCTAACTCCTGTTTCCAAAATTAAGATACCTGGCTCCCATTTTAATAAATTTTCTTTTATTTTTACTTTATTTTTTATTTTTAAATTTTTTATTTAAATTCAATTTAGTTAACATATAGTGTATTATTAGTTTTAGGGGTGGAATTTAGTGGTTCATCAGTTGCATATAACACCCAGTGCTCATTATATCAAGTGCCCTCCTTAATGCCCATCACCCAATTACCCCATCCCCCAGCCACCTCCCCTCCAACAACCCTCAGTTTGTTTCCTAGAGTTTGGCATCTCTTATGGTTTGCCTCCCTCTCTGTTTTCACTTCATTTTATTTTTCCTTCCCCTCTCTTATGTGCATGTTTTGTTTCTTAAATTACACATATGAGTGAAATCATATGGTATTTGTCTTTCTCTGACTTATTTCACTTGGCATAATACCCTCTAGTTCCACCCACGACATTGCAAATGGCAAGATTTCATTCTTTTTGATGGCTGAGTAATATTCCATTGTGTATATATATATATATATATATATATATATATATACCACATCTTCTTTATCCATTCATCTGTCAATGGACATCTGGGCTCTTTCCATAGTTTGGCTATTGTGAACATTGCTACTATAAACATTAGGATGCATGTGCCCCTTCAAATCACTAGGTTTGTATCCTTTGGGTAAGTACCTACCAATGCAATTGCTGGGTCATAAGGTAGCTCTATTTTCAACTTTTTGAGGAACCTCCATACTGTTTTCAAGAGTGGCTGCACCAGCTTGCATTCCCACCAACAGTGTAAGAGGGTTCCCCTCTCACCGCATCCTCGCCAACATCTGCTGTTTCCTGACTTGTTAATTTTAGCCATTCTGACCTGTGTGAAGTGGTATCTCATTATGGTTTTGATTTGTATTTCCTTGATGCCGAGGGATGTTGAGCATTTTTTTCATGTTTCTGTTGGCCATTTGTATGTCTTCATTGGAGAAATGTCTGCTCATGTCTTCTGCCCATTTCTTGACTGGATTTTTTGCTTTTGGGTGTTGAGTTTATAAGTTCCTTATAGATTTTGGATACTAGCCCTTTATCTGATATGTCATTTGCAAATATCTTCTCCCATTCCATAGGTTGCCTTTTAGGTTTTTTTTTAAAGATTTTATTTATTTATTTGAGAGAGAGAGCACAAGCAGTGAGGGGGGAAGGGCAGAGGGAGAGGGAGAAGTAGACTCCGCACTGAGCAGGGAATCCAACATGGGCTCCATCCCAAGATCACCACCTGAGCTGAAGGCAGACACTTAACCGACTGAGCCACCCAGGCGCCCCTGCCTTTTAGTTTTGTTGATTGTTTCCTTGGCTGTGCAACAGCTTTTTTTCCTGATGAAGTCCCAATAGTTCATTTTTGCTTTTGCTTCCCTTGCCTCCGGAACATGTCTAGCAAGAAGTTGCTGTGGCCGAGGTGAAAGAGGTTGCTGCCTGTGTTCTCCTCTAGGATTTTGATGGACTCCTGTCTCACATGTAGGTCTTTCATCCATTTTGAGTCTATCTTTGTGTGTGGTGTAAGGAAATGGTCCAGTTTCATTCTTCTGCATGTGGCTGTCCAACTTTCCCAACACAATTTGTTGAAGAGACTGTCTTTTTTCCATTGGAAATTCTTTCCTGTTTTGTCAAAGATTAGTTGACTATAGAGTTGAGGGTCCATTTCTGGGTTCTCTCTTCTGTTCCATTGATCTATGTGTCTGTTTTTATGCCAGTACCATACTTAATAAACTTTTTTCCAAAGATTCCATCTATTTATTTGACAGAGAGAGCACACAAGCACGGGGAGCAGCAGGCAGAGAGAGAGGGAGAAGCAGACTCCCCGCCGAGCAAGGAGCCTGATGTGGGGCTTGATCCCAGGACCCTGGGATCACAACCTGAGTTGAAGGTAGACACCCAACCAACTGAGCCACCCAGGCGCCCCCTTAGTAAATTTTCTTATCTGATTTCCCCTGTATGTAACCAATCTTCCATGGCTGCTGCTGTCTATGCAGACATTGTCCCCACCCTGCTTGAGCTCTGACACCCTGCTAGGCCATTACCCTCTTCATGTATCCCACATTAGTTGCTGTCCTGTGTGAATGCCCTTCTCACCCAACATGGGCTGACATGAAATGTCAGGATACCCTCTGCACAGATATCCTCATTGCTGTGCTCAAGTTTTGGCTTCCTACACCATAAAGATGCCTCACCCTGCCCATGGTATGGTACCCACTACTGCCATGACCTTGAACCCCCGTGTACAGACCCCCCTCCACCTTGCCTGAGTTCCAAACTGGGAAGCCCTCTGATGCCAACACCTTCTTCACCCTCTTGAGATCCATACCCTGTCTTGTGTCACAGTATCTCTTGCCCTGGTATACCTATGTTGCACTGCCCAGGCTAATGAATTTCAGACTAAATTGTTCAGGAAGGGAAGAGAAGAAAATGAGGGAAAAGATGAGAGGAAACTTAAATTTCCATTTAAAAATAGAGATAAAGTATCTGCAGAAGAAAATTGTCAGTCACTTACTAAAATCTGCTTCAACATTTTTACCTCAAACCTCAAGGAAACATGATTGTAAAGAAAACTGAAAAAAATGTCCCATGAGAAAGTGGACCAAATTTTTGAACACAGGCTCAGATCTTCTTCTCTTGGTATAAATTCATAGGAATAATAGAA